ATGGCATACTCCACGAACGGGAAGTCTTTCCTCCATTCTTTAAAGGGTTCCATTGTACGCAATAAATCCGCCACAATATGAATAGCCCGTTGGGTCTGGGCATCGGTCTGGGCAAAATCAGATGTAGACATGTGGATCTTGCAATCCAGCATAGAAAACACATAACGTTGAAATCCTGAGGTGCAACGCGGATACTGGTCCGAAACTATGGACTAGGGTATCCCGTTAAGTTGATATACGTGATTGAGTAACAAGAAGTCTGCCTTTTGCCTGATATGTGTTGGTGCCACATGGTGCGAAATGCACCATCTCGCTCAGTCTGTCGACAAAGACGACAATATCGGTCCTACATTTCCAGTCAGGCGCCATATCTATATAACTAATTCCAAAATGATCGACTTTCAGCAATAGGTTGGTATCAGTTGTGGCTCACGTGGCAAACTCCTAAAAGGTGAAGGCTTTTTACGCGCTGACACTCTTCGCACGTTCAAATATAATTGGCTACACAACAATGTAAGCGTGGCCATTAGCAGTATCTGACACTTGTAAGCGTGCATTCCACCGGCATTGATGACCAATTAATGGTAAGTCATGGAGCTCACATTGAAATTTCCTGTTGAGATCTGTGTCATACGTGGCATGTATTCTCAATGAATCGCAAGTTGGCAGTTGATGTCATAATAGGCCTTCGATGCAGATCATTGGTAAAGCCTTGTCTTTAGGCGCGACTGAAGATTATCTTTTCGTCCATTAAATTCATCTATACTAGACGTAAATGTTCATCGTTGATGTAGATCTCCTTGATGTGAAAAGACAAATTGTTTGTCACATGTTCAATCCGTAGTAATGTCAGTGTGGACGGCTGCACATGCGATTCGCGCGACATGTTTTCGTCAATTCCTTTTTAAAGCTTAAAAAGCGCGATTATGCATCATCCAAAACATTCGACTTCCCTGGCTTGCATTCGATTTGAAAAAAGCTTGAGACGTATGTCTCTCCTCTCGCCGTCCTAAGAGATAGGTGCGGTGGGTTTATTACGGTCCACACAGATTCTTGATCCGCATAAACTACGAAAGGTTCGGAGCCCAATAGGAGCACACGAAACTTAACAGGATGCTAATGTATAGAATGTAGCTCCTTGTCATGCACGCGATAATTTAGCTACGCAGTCTTTAAAAGAAGGGTATAAAATATGAGATGAAACCATCAACGTCGTTGTCGTGCTTGTACATAAGTGCACTGCCGACGGCAAAAATACTCGCACCACAGAAAAAATTGAAGTGCTTATTCACTTCTGGCAAAGCCAATACTGGAGCCTCTACAAGCGATTGCTTTAATGGAAGGAGTCCATTACTTGGACCTCATCCCAAATCCATTCTGCGTCCATTTTAAAAATCAAATGTTGTTGGTTTTCGATCCGCATAATTCTTGCTATATTTCTGCAAGTAATTAGGAAGCCCGAGAAATTGACGCAGAGCCTTCACAATTTTTTTGTGGGAACGGACATTCCTTATTAGCTTTAACCTATTTCAGGGTCTGATCTTACACCTCCTTTCCCACGACGCAGCCCAGTACAGGTGTTTTGGGGACTCTAATGATGCAATTTTGCATGTAGACGTCCGAGTAGGCATCACCCAGATTCTGCAACGCAACGTCCAGATGACGTTTGTGCAACTCTATCACACTCATTCTGCACTCGGATCTACGATGAACGAATACATTGTCAGAGTAATGAGGCGTGTAGGCACGGTGTAGACGCCACATGAGCGAACACCCAGTTAGAATATTGCTGATACCTTTTTCAACACTTACGGTATCACTAGACATTCCCACGTCAATCTCTTAGGGTTCTAATTTTCTTCTTCGATGCATCGGTCTCATTAATAAGTATTTGATGGTCGCCATTTTTAGATAAATCAAACGCGGAGTTGACAGTTGACTTCCCAGTTAAGTGCAATACAGCATATTTGGCGGGATCGGTATCTACGATGGGATGGTGGCATTGATCAACTTATTGTAAGCATGAACCACTTGCTAACAGCCTATTGCCTTACGTGCATAAAATTTCGGGCTGCAGTGAGTCTATTTCTCTCACATACATGCCCCGCCCTGGATCTCTTTTCGAAACAATTGTCGATGCAGTCGAACTGCGCCTTCGGGAATGGTCAATGCCTGGTCACACAACAAACGTTGTCAGGTTCCAAGTCAATTTCGTGCAGTATAATCCTATCGGCTGTTAGGCGGCTCTGCACATCCGTAGGAACTACACCACGATGCTACCACATAACTTCGAAAAATGGACTGCGTTATACGACGCCTCGTCTCTGAGCAGAGAACCGTTTTGTGGTGGAGTGGGTTGTAAAAACGTTTTGACGAGACCCCAATCCATTCACTGTGCCGTCTGCCGACTGTCGGAGGGGGTACCCCGATGCAGCTGTGGACCTTGACTTACCTTGTTTACCCTTTGGTTGGCGGGTTTCACTCTTAGGTGGACATAGTGATGATGTAATGCGACTACTTCGTGGGGTTTCCTCCTTTAGTTTGTACAGGAACCGATACCACGCCATCTCCAAGACGTAAACTATCTCTTCGGCAGATGCTAAGACACGACAAAGCACCCCCGTGGAGGGTGATTCCGGCATTTTAATATCAATGGCCTTGAACATCTCTTTCGTAGGTTTATACCTCTTACTTAAATTGATTTGTTTCAAGGTCTCTTTCTTTAAACGGGCCTTTCATTTCTAATTTGTTTGGAAAGCGTTACACGCGTAAATACGACATTTGTCGATTTGGAATTAGGTATCGTTTCTGTTTTAGCTATCGTATATTTTATAAATGCGTTAGCTTATTGACTTCGTATGTATCAGTTCCTGCGACGCCTGAATTAGTTCCATCTTGTTATTAACTACATCATATCAATTGAATTTATTATTTCTTGTTGAAGTGAGACTGAAGTTCAACGTGTCCTTTATTGTGTTGGACACAGCAGCAGTTTTGTTAGCCTCAGCAAAAACCAAATTATTTCAGTTGTCTTGCCTGAATCTAGAGACTGTGCTTGCTCGTTGAACTATCCATCGTTTATGTTTTAAAATTACATAGAGCTTAGGATGAGATCACTAAAAAATCATCATGTCTAGCTATGCGAATGCCTATTTACACAAATAGTCGCTAAAACTGAAGGCGATTTCAACGTAAGATTTCTCGATCTGACTAATGTACAGTGTAACAAACAAATGGTCGTTATTTTCACACTTGGCACCCCGGCAAGCATTTCTTTGCTCGTCAGAAAAGTTTTTGATGAATCGTGAGACTTAAAATTCCGTGATGCACTTAAATCTACGAAAAGGGTCTTCACATGTCATAGTCTTCCGCTAGAGCTCCATTAGTCAACACGTTTGACAATTATCTACTTGCTTCCTCGTGGACTGCGCTACCCTTTTTGACAACGATGAACGTTACCTAGCTTCACAGGTCATGTCAGTAGGGAAACCACCCCTAGTGAAATGTTTTATTTTTCGGACCATGTTGGTCAATGCCGAATGCAAGAGCTTTTTAGACTATTAGCCGCACCGCCGTAAGCAGGCAAGTTTCTTCTCTCTTTCGTGCTGGTGTCCACTTTTGCATAGCAGCCAAGCTATGGTGATGCTCGTTGCGGCTGCAGTGGACAATATATATGTCGCCCAAGTATACTACAGCGGATACAGACATTTGAGTTGCCTGATTTTGCAATGAATTTAGTAAGCACTGTTGTAGATGTGCTTTTCAATTAAAGTAGTAACAATTCTTTTTTACATTTTCGGCGGCACCTTTCTAAAATGGGCTTGTCGTGCAGGGTCGTGACGCAGTCCATTTAGGAATGTGGGCACCGTAATGTCTTTTCTAATTACTCAAACTAATATGCTTCGACAACGAGCGCATCTCCTACGAAAATGATTGCGGATAACTGTTGAGCCTGTCGTGAGGTAATGAAGCGCTCCAGAAGCAACACCTCGTGGTTAGGCGACTGATGCATGTCATAAACCCTTTTGTTAACGATCGAACATGATAATCATGCTATAATGTCTGCCATAAGCGCAAATTAGGCTTGTAAGATGCCTTGACCTGCATATAGGAAGCATCAAGCAAAATCATCCTAGTATCGTCCTCGATAAGTATTAAAATGGCCCACGGCTAGAAGCTTTTATATGATGATGCGTGCGGCAGTACTTTTTAAAACTTAGGAGTGTAAATCCAATAAGTTCTCAGCTGAGCAAAACTGGAAGATGGCGTCTCAACAGTTCTGTCGAGTGCCTTGTTTTGAAACTGCTTGAGCAGAAGCTCATCGTGGACTCTACAATTTCATGGCTTAGCGTATCAGACTCGAACATTCGCTGTCTAAGCACCATATTTTCTACTTTCAAGATGAGAAACATTGTTGCATTGGAAGATTACTTTGCACATTGAACAAGGCTTTATCGCCAGGTACTCAATCCGTATGATTAGCCACCTCCTCTGATGCTGGAAGAGATGGTATAAATTGAGTCTTTTAAGCAGTGAGGCTCATCCTCACTGACACGCTCACAGAGAGTTAGGTATTGGAAAGTGCAACTTGTTCTACTAATGTAGGTGAGTACTTTAATATGTGACACGAACTACGTTCGCACACACCCTTGGCACCTCCAATAAAGGAGGTTTTAACGTCTTCTTTAGCGTGCAGCAAGGTTAGAGTGGATTTTATGAAATGCTTTATCGATCGACAGACACTTCAATTTCTTATGGATCGCATACGGTTTCCGTCCCCCAGTACGAAATTCTAGCTAAAGTACACGACAGATTGTATGAAGTAATTGGTCATATACAGATAGCTCACAGTTAGAGGGACCACAGTCCCAACACAGTTTTAAAACCACATTTTACTGGACAAAAAAACACATGCAAATTGTAAGTTAATGTTTTCTATCGCACAGCTATTGGACAAAAGAACGTAGTGACGCTCGCCACCCGTCCCATTCTCCCCACGCATGGGCAATTCGCAATTTCCGAACACCTCCGCCGACAAGCACGACGTACGAATGGCGCCCCAAACGCACCTATCCTTCGTCCAAAAGAGAGCTCTACAGACACACCAGCGACAGATCCCTGGACTCACGCAAGCCGATCTCTGTCGATGTGCGCTGGGAGAGTTTGGAGTCCGTGTTGCACGGTCCACGACCAGCAGGATTCCGAGAGAGGACATTCCTGTCATCCTCAATCTGAGAGCCAAACGGCAGCAGAAGGGCAGACACGCCGAAATGGAGAAAGCGCTGTTCTATTTCGTGCTCGACACTCAAAGTAAAGTCACGTTGACCAAATTCATCCTCCACCAGAAGGCTAATCAACTGCTCGAGGACGCAGGTGCAACGATGAAGCTCTCGCTTGCGTGGGTGTCAAGGTTCAAAGCCCGACACGGCATCAAGTCTTACCGATTGCATGGCGATTCGGCCTCAGTCGAGCTAGAGACCCTTCACCAGAGACGCCGAGAACTCCGGACCCTTCTCGACGGCTACGCGGCGTGCGATGTTTTTAATATGGATGAAACTGTTCATTTTTATCGCATGACGCCTTCGCGGGATCTGGCAACGATGCCTTTGAGTGTAAGAAGAAAGATAAGTCGTGCGTTTCGATAGGGCTATGGTCCAAAATGGATGGGACTGAGAAACTAGACCCTATCGTGATCAACAAGTACCTCAACCGCCTTTGCTTTCAAGCCATCGAAGTTTCCAAGCTACCCGTCCCATTCCATGCAGATGCAAAGACATGGATGACTGGCGGCATTTTTGCAAATTGGTTGAAAGCGTTTAATCTCATAGTGAGTCGGCGATAAGTTCTTCTGCTGCTCGACAACGCGACCTCACATGTCAATTTGGAGCTCTCAAACGTACACATTCACTTCCTTCCGCCCAATAACACCTCCCATTTGCAGCCGATGGACGCGGGCATCATTTGCAACTTCGAGCTCATGTACAAGGCCCAATTAGTGCAGTGGCTACTGGACATGGTGACGGCGGGGATGGAGGACAAGAAGCTCGACGTTCTTAGCACAATCCGTATGGTAGTAAAATCGTGGGCTGAGGTGCGCCCTGAAACGATTCGATACTGATGGATCCACACAGGAATCGTGTCGGGCGTTATGGCGACAGTGCTCCGTAGGCAAGACGAGCCGGTCCGTCCCAATGATCTCTCAATCCTGGCTAATCTAATCGACAAACTATCCTTACTGATGGAATGGGTGCAGAAGACTATCTGGAGCGTGAAAACAGCCTGGAAGAATGGGAACCAGACTCCGATGCAACTGCCACCTCTGAGCCATTTTCGCGTGATGACGACAGCGACGGAGACGAAAATTCCATCTTCACTCATCGCGACGCGCTAAATGCTGCAATACAATAGTCTACGTACCTATTAGCGCACAAGATCGATTTTGCACACACGATTAATATTGTGGGGATGCAACTGCTGATCGAGAAATGCCGCCAACAGCTTCAACAAGACATGCACCAGCAGCAAATTACCGATTTCTTTTTGAAAGAGTAAGCTCGATGGCCCATACTGAAGCTGACAGCACTTACTTAGAAGCATACAAAAATGAAAATGATATTTAATGTGTTAAATCACTTAGATTTCTACATTTTTCTTCATATCTTACTTTCCTGGAAACTTATTCCAATTATCCAATCCCTTTAGAATCTTCCTAAAGACTTTTTTCAATTATATTCCAACAGTAACAAAGTGGTGTCCTTTAAGTTGATTTCGATCTTAAGGACACAACGAAATTTTAAGGACAAATCGCGCTCTCTGACTGTGAGCTATCTGTACCAGCATGGCCAAGATAAAAATAAGACGCTCTCTCCTACTAGACTGTGTCACTACAGAGCGCTAAAACTTGATGTAGTCTCTTTAATGATATTTGATGATGGAATCATCGGATGGCGTATAGTAGTGACGTCATTCGTGTGGCATTCACACTCAGTGATACGTACGTGGTGTAGATGCACAACTCCCTTAGAAATTTTCCTAGACTTTTCCGTGTCGATACCCTAAAAGTCCCGCATAACGATTTAACCCGTTTTCGACAAAAATCTACTCCTTGTACACAATCTAATCATGCCCGCAAATGTCTACCTTTTCTATTAGAATATTAACATTTACCTACTAGCTTCACATACGACGCCTGCTGTATAGATACGATAAATAAGAGTGACAGACTAATTATTTTCACAAAGGCGCTATGCTATACGGTATCACACATGTGAAAGCGCCACCCGCTGGTCACACCGATGCTGTTTATCCTTTTCATCGAATTCGAGATTGAATTCGTCTACTCTAGAATTTTTTCATGTAGCTGCTGGCAGCAGCTACATGAAAAAATTCTGAGTGTCATTAACCAAAGGAATACTCAAAAATTGGAGTCGCTTCCAACTACACATTGTGCTGCTGTCACACACCAAGAGTGTGACGAGGCAACCTCTTCTGCAGTACAGGACTGGAAATGGCTCATGTGGGTTTCCACGTCATGCCTATACTGGACAAATTAATCGTGGCTCATACCAATTTCATTTACTTTATCGGCCACAAAGGTCGGTACCATTTTCATAAAGGTCTTTGCCATTCTTAACTACTAATGACTTTACTATAAACAGGTGTTATCGCCAGATTGAGACTGATTCTCACCAGTATTAACAATTTCACTTTAATTGGTCTGACTCAAGAAACCGTGTCATTACAGCCTTCTGGCCATCGAAAGAGATTTCATGGAGCGGTAATACCTTCATCGCAGCATTTTACCAATATTTTTGTCGATCCGTGCTGGAGGTGGCGGTATCGTGGCAGCGCGCAAGATGAAACAGACTTAAGATGAAGCCTTAGTAAAATTCACAAGCTGTCCAGGATTATGCGTTGTGCGACCTTCAAGGCGTCTTTCCTATGCTCTAAGGAATACCAGTCGAGCGCATGAAGCTTCCAGCGTACAAAGTCGTTGTCTTTTTTCCCTACCACACGAGCAGCGCAATTAAGGGCACATTTAATTTAGGATGCAGGGTTTCCGACTGTGCTGGGAGTGCAGTCACGCAAGCGCTAAAATGCATGCACGAAGGCTGTGTGTGTCTTTTGCATGGTCAAGAGCGTGATCATTGTTTCGTCGGACCTGTAAGCATCAGGTACTGTTTATCCCGACATTTTGCTGGTATTACCAGTTTTGTAGACACCATTGGCTTGCTGAGGGGCGATCCGATCTGTTAGGCCTTGTTTGAGAGGTTTCTAGGGTAAATTTGATGATTTTTATCCGTATTTACAATCTACTACACTGCTTCAAGCCACCTTTCTGCTCCAAACTACGGTACTACTTCATCAATACAAACAAACACAAGTATTATATATACAACAATAAACTAGCATGTAAAAATAACTGTAGAGACACCTGTTAATAACAGATTCAGCAATGAATGCAACCGTCCTCCGTTCCTTTAAAATTAGGCCCTTCATCCATTACGTGTAGATAGGCGAGGAAAAAATGGGAGAAATGTTAGTACGCCTCATGAAATAGTTCTGATTAGCACGGGAAATGTGAAAAATCGAAACGCGCTGCTGTGCCGCCCCGTGTCGATATTGAATGTTTCATTGTGAAGAAAAGTACTTATAAGGTAAGGATCATCCAAACCCTTCGTCATTTTTTTTGAAACTACTTAGGTCGCCGAATTATCACGCAATCGCCGGGGGGGGTGAAAGTATTCCAGACGCTCGGTGTTAGCGCAGTTATTGTCGGGCATTATAAAGATAAACTTGCGTTCAGACAACCAGCTCCAAAAAGCACAATGTAGCTGGCATGAATTATGTCTTCTCCGAAAAAAAACTACCCTGTCAACAAATTGACTAAATTACGGTAGCTGGATCATAGGGAGAAAGCGTAGTAGCAAATGAAATTTATCCGAACCGCGCTTTCGTGGCATCTAATGCTGTTCAAAAAATACAAATGGAAGCGCCCGCAAATCGAATCAGATCTTTGGGTTTAGTAGTGATAGAATATGATAAAAGACACATCTTCAGAGCAGTTCTTAAATTTATCACCCGTAACTTCTTAACTGTGATCATGTACAACTTTCCTTGGGTGTAGGTATTGACACATCCACTCGCGGTCATATCTTTCAGTCTCATGGGTGGCTACTTCTTAGACTGTAAAGAAGAATTGAACAATAGGGTGTTTTAGTGGATCATCTTTTCTGATGTTGTTTTCGCGGTCCTATCAGTTGACATGAGAAATATCGAATGGAATAATCATCTTTACAGTGCTGATTGAAGCAATAAGTAATCTTGTTTGTCACAGTTCATCTTGGCTCATTCACATGTGATACACTTGTGCAGAAAGTCAGTGACGGTTGTTTCTATGCTGGGCTAGTACAGTGTGGTCTGCATAGTTTATAGTGTTAATGTTTTGGGTGGCCGAGACTTTTGTAGCGCCATCCGGTCCTATAAGACTGTCTTTCACAAGTACTCGGTATTTATAGTAAACCATGGTGCATCCCAGAATTTTTAGATGATAGTTTACATTTTCGGTTCATGCTAAACACGGCACTGTATGGTTTGGATCACCTCATCTTCATCTTGGGGATGGAAAAAATTGGAGCATGCATAGCGATCTCAAACTGCATTACAAAAGTAAAGACTTCTTCCTTTATCGATGGGACTCCACGTGTCAAAAACCACACGTGAGATAGCATCGACTCCAACGTTCCTTTTCATTTTATTTGATTCATGGTGAGAAGATATTAGGAGAGTAACACACTTTAGCGCTTGAACTAAAGGCTTGCTTCAGTCGAGTAAATCGTATTTTTATGTTCAGTAGAAACCACCAACGACAATCTAAGGAGGATCGTATTGTATCCGCGCAGGTATTCGACGATTGTGTAGAATCTTTTTTTCAATCTATGGCGATGTAGTTGATCTGATGATTGACCAGTATACCTGAATAACACACCAAATAGTTTATTATCTTGCATTATATGTAAAGGGGGTTACACGTAATTGGGTACCTGGTACCCTGTGGCTTAGACACACGGATGATATTCCACTAAAAGAGATGTAGAATGTCTCATCGATTAATAGGGGCTGACTGGTGTCAGCCACTAGATAAAAGAGATCTTATTTGTACTATCTTAGGATTAAGATATTCTATAGTTCTAGATGTAAATATTCAGTTCCTCTTTTGATCTTAAAGACACATGCCTTGCGAGGCGTCTTTGGTCGTTGATCGCTGATCGCTAAATCAGCAACACCTCGTTGAGGTAGATAATCACTCTTGAGCACCAAGTGCTGTCAATTCACTGAATCCTTTGGTCCCCTGAAACAGGAACCATAAGTTTTACGCTTGTTGACTCATTGAGTCTAGTTCTTTAAAACTAAGCTGCTCGTTGAGCGTTAAGTCTGCCTCTGACTTAAGGAGCTATTTAGCTCTGCTACAATTTGTTTCCACCAATCTGGGTTCAACTAGCATCAACATAGACTTGTAATCATCCTAAAAAATTTAGGTAATGACATCAGGACAGAAAGCACGCTTATTGCCTTGGAGGGCTTGGGTTCTCGTGGTAAGCAGTTAAAGGGTATTATGGAGCTAGCACAACGATGTATGTGCTTGCACAATGCTGTGTCGTACAAGACCCTGTCCAAATATCAATTGACAATCTCCAAATGTCGAAGCTTCTTACGATTACGAGGTATTGCAATTTATGGATGGCCTGATTTATTTATTTTCTTGAAGGTTTATCGTATCGGATTGTAGCGTTAACCCTAAGCAATCGACCTACTTACGCGTATTGTAACATTTTCGTCGGTTCAGCGAGACTATAGTTGTACGGGAGCTCACAAAAGTTACGCAGGTGAATGAAATGTTTGTCTTCGGTGGAGATAAACACAATAATGTCACTCAAGTAAACGACAACAATCTGCAAATCGTCAAAAATGCGCTCCAAACATTCTTGACATTTATCCGGTGCCGTTGAATTGCCCATTTCTAGTCGTTTGTATTGACTCTTACTGAACGGCAAACAGAAGGATCTGTAAGGCCGACCTTTTTGTGCAATGCGTCGAGCATCCTAGATGTAAATCCCGGACAAACGCATCAGAATCTTTCGTATACGTGGCATATGGTACGGGCTCTGTCGTAAATATTTGTCAAGACCACGATGAGCTTTTTGAAAAAGTATAGAGCCATCGAGCTTAGTGGCGAAACGAAGACGAAGACGAAGTTATCCCGAAGTCATGTATTTGCATCAGAACCTCGGTATACACGAGCCGCTAAATTACCTATTTGCTTACTCTTCTTGACTTTGCGCGATCGGGTAGAAAATTGCATGGACTGGTTTTTATCTGGTAAAAAAGATCTTTAGTAGTCACTTCAGCACATCCTCCCAATATGTCTGTCAAAAGACGTGCAGAAGCGACCAAAGAGCGATCAATATTCATTCTCCATGTCAGGTATAGATGGTACGACAGAAGTGAATCTGTAGTGAATGTCTTCGTGTTTTCTTCGTTCGTATCTTCAGTATTCTCGACGTCCTCTTTGTCGACACTGTCTTGTTATGACTTATCATTCCCCTTACTTTATTGCATAAAATATTTGCCTGGTCGAACCACCTTGACCGTGAAGCTTACAATGAGACCAAGCGCGTTAATTATGCTTCTTACGACAAGCACGGTGTCGATGCTATCTTCGATCGTCTCAAACTGTAGGTGATCATTGTATCTGGCTCAAACTGTATAAAAAGAAAACTGCCATACGATCGCTTGCACAAGTTCTGCGCCAATAGTTTCAATTGCAATCAATGAGGCAGAAGTGTAGATTCGGCCCAGCTTCAAAATGGTCGTAAGTGTCGCGCCATTCGTTACTCACTTAAATGTGCCACTATCAAGAAATGCCTCAATAGTTTCTGGAGAAAGATAAAACGCGACGATTACATGCGATGACGCGTTGGTGGAAGCTTTATCGTTTCCACCATACCAACAAGGTTTACATGCTGGTCTGATCCTCTTGCGCCTGGATCTGACTCGTTCTCCTGATTCCGAAATGTATGTTGCGGAGATGTGTGGAACCTCTTGTCTGATTCGCGGCCATTTTGGGGCCGGACAGTGCCACCCTATATCGATTCTGCTTGCGATGGTTATCATGTCCACTTAAATTTCCCTTATCTCATCCCGACGAGTTTCGTACTAATTGGTGATAAAAAGTGGGCTTTTCTCAACTTTACTTTGTATAATGCCGTCCAATTTATCGTTTATGTCGTGTCACGAACTTTTAGGTGCCTCTCAAGTTTCCGACTCGTGTAAAGTACAGCCTTTATTTATTCGTTTGTTGGTTGTACACGTATCCTGGTGTAGAAAATTTTCTTTCCATGCCGTAGGCATTCCACGTTTGAAGTGTCAGTATTGCTGGACCTCTATGGATATTCCCTACGTCCTGCAGGTATCAAGAAGACAATAGGATATTTTCTTTCAGCATTTGCGAATCTCGGAGCACATTATCATACTGGCGCTTCCCCATCGTCGACAATTTTTTGTACAAATCTTCACGATAATCGTGCGGTACAGGCAATAATCCTAACTGGGTAAAATCTTCACGAAGGTCTTGCGTCAGTGGACGGCAGCTCGGTGATCGCGTCAACTTCATTCGTGAGATACCTATCGATATACGCGAACCGAATGTGCGCTTTTTTTCTTATCGAGCCACTGTTTATGTGTAAGAACACAAAATTGGCTACTCCATCAGAGTCACCCCCGCGAGCTGCCGCCTGTAAACTTCTTCAATCTAATCATTACCGTCTCCGCGGGGGGGTCAGATGTTGCTGATGTGATCACCCCTATTTAAGTGACGTACTCTTCTTCGGTCTGGCGTCCTATGTTGTGAAACGCAGCTTCCTGCATCTGATGTAGAGTAGATTAAGATGTAAAAATTCACACCCTTGTCTTGCAGAGGGTCATTTGGGTCCGCGAGTCCTTGCTTGAGAGAGACTTGCGGTATCTGACGTAATTTTGATAATGCTAATCATGTGCATAAGCTATTAATTCGTTTAGTTTTTGTTTTTTATATTTCTTATTTTTTTGAATTATTGTTTTATTTCCGTCTTCAAGCTACCATCCTGACGCGAGCTATTGTTCTGCTTTATCGCTACCAACAAGCAACCCCAACTGGACAATGAATCCTTAGATAACCTGTATCTTCATAACTCATACCCCGTACAAGTTATACATGTATGTTTTACTCATGATCGTTATGCGGTCGCTGACTCAAAACTTATAAATCAAGTGCATCGGAATAGGTGAGTCCGAGAGGAAAGCAAATTACACGAAAATCCTCCCGAGAAGTTTAAAACTTTACGCTTGTCGCACCCACAGTACGCCAAAAAAGGTGTGGGTGGACTGAGCCCACCTACACCCACCCATTCGTCCTTTTATTAGGATAATGTGAAACGCATTCCACTTTTTTACTAAATATACCGCATAAACCACACCTTTACCACACCACAATAAAATTCGCTAAAAAATGCACGCCACCATTGCTATATACGACCGCTCTCGTACAAAAATTGGAAACAATCGTACAAATGGAAAAGGATTAATTTATCAATCTCCCTTCAAAGGCAACGGGCTGGTCCTGAACAGATTCAGGCAGGCTCGATGAAATACATATAGCCGTATAGTACTTTTTTCTACTCGAAAAGGTGGAATTTGTAGCAACTGATATATTCGATTACGTTTGTGAAACGTGAACTTTTGGTCCATTCATTTTTGCACCTTTCTCGACTTCAAACTGACTGTTAAAATTTTGGCTGATACAAATGGCGCCCTAGATGTATTTGACATGCATTAACGAGTGCGTCATGGTCGTCGATTAAATCAATTTTAGAGGGTAAAGAGCTTCAGTCGTATATTGCGTGCTAAACGAAGTTTGCTTGGTAAATCACTTACCTTTTTTACGATAATTTCTTCTGATGTACGAGAGTGGTCGTACATAAAGGTGGTGGCGCGATCTTTTTTGTACAAACCGTATAGTGGTGTGGTATAGGTGTAGTGTATGGGTGTATTTCGTAAAAAGAGGGGTGTACTTAACCACACCCTTTAAATACGGTGCACCCACCCACGCCCGCATTGACGTTTATGTCCAATTGGTCACAGATCTACTTTGTACAATAAGCCTCAAACATCGTAAGTAAATAAAAGTACAATAATTTGTGTTGCTGGATCATTTCGAGCCTGTGACGTCGCGCCACCCACGCCCACCCACCGACTGTCGGTCTCACCCATGACAATAAAAATCATGGGCGTGAGCGTGGGTGTGGGGTGTGGGCGCTCAATTTTGAATTGTCTCCTGAGCAAAGAAAATTATATTCATAAATTAGTGTTATCGTGAATACTAAGCGAGCGATTACAAAAAGTAGGGGTGCTTAAAGTGGTGGCAGATATACATATTGACATTTAAAATTCCATCCGCAAAGACCGTGACGGCGATAGAGATCCGTGTCTGGAAAAAAGGTTATTCAATACACGTTCCCAACTTCAGGACTTTTCTAGAAATTAGACCAACTCTGATTTTTTTGAGACGCTCAAAATGTTTCTGTGCAGCTTTAATTTTTAAATCATGTATAGAATAGTTGCGAGCCCGAAGGATGAAGCTATTAGTGACTGTGCGCAAGGTTTGTACGACGAGCTTTTAATTCGTACTGATCCGTCCGTCTGTGTGTGTCTGTAAATATCGCGGTTAGGTGTACTTTACCCGTACTAAGTGCGATTTAGCCTGTCGCCCCGTAGGTTTAGCTTCATCCGAGGTCACTCTTTGGCAAAATCACTACACGCTTGTGATTGGCTTATAATCAATCTAAGGTGAATGTGATCTCTTAAGCAAATGCTGGATGCCCATCAACAAAGGCTGATCGCCTTGCCCTAGCCTACTGACTGGATTCATGCACATATTATGGTCATTTTGCTCATTCTTTAGTGGCTCTAGTGCATAGTGTGATGCATCTCGATTTAGTTCTCCATACAGGTTTACATATATTTAAGGGCGAGCTCCAGAGCGTGCTCCCCTACCTTACTAAATCATTTAAAGTATCGAACCATTTGACATGTGACGGCAGTTGCTGCCATGGCCGTTTGAAGTTTTATGAAGCCGTTTGACGCTCTATGGAGTTCTTTGAACCGTTTGGAGCTCTACAATGCCTGTGGAGTTCTGTGCAGCAGTTAGTTTACGCACGATACCCAGCAACTCTTTTTAATGTATTCCCATTTTTACCAGCATCCCACAAGGCTTTTTAAAAAGACTTGCGGAGCCGATGGCCCTTTTGCCAACCAAGAACTTGTCCAACATCTGTCTTCATTAGGATTTCACTAACCTCACACACCAGTTTTTATCCATGTAAAAAACATCTTCGGACTTATAACGAGCCATAAAGCCACAAGTCCAGGCATGCTGCATCCATGGCTTCACTCATTCGTTGAACCACTCGCGCCGTGTATCCTGATGCTGTGCAGCTTGTATCGCTACTGAAAGTGTCGCGACTATCCACTGGAGAGCGTGATGGTGTCCTCAGGTAGGCTAAGTCGTCCTGAAAACACCTGGCCTTTATTTGACATCGATCGTTTCTCCAGTTAGGGAAGCACTCCTTGTTTGGCGTTATAGCAACCAAGTTGCACATCATCCTCAAGCTTCGGATTCTGAGCGACGCGCGGGCGTTCGACGGAAAGTTCGCTATCGGTCATAGATTCTAGATCAGCGCGCTTCTTGAGTAAGATCGAGACGAAATACCGGGTGATTTGGACTCCGAAATTACTGGTAGGCCCAATCTGCTGAAACACTGTGGCTCATTTTTATATTCTTGGCCTTGCGCTTGCAGCTCCTGAGCTTTGTGTATTGGTGAGGCGCACTTGGAACATGTTTATATGAACTTTAAAAGGGGCACCGCTAATTTACTGATCTTTCCTTGTCAGAACGAGATCAGAAATCGGAAATTCGCACAGTTCATAAATTGGCTCATTCATCGAATTTGTGTCGACCAAGCCTGTGAGTTATCCCAAGGAATGACTGTAGATCCAACCGTCAACCGTCATGGACAAACCCAACGATAGATGTAAGCGTTACCCGTGCATCAGACATCAGTCCAGCTACCAATCCATGCGTAGGTAGTCAAAAACAGATGGCAGGGATGCCATGGTCTGACGGATCGTGACCAGGATATTCACCGCCTTGGACAAACTGCCCGTGTGCTGGCCGACTTTGAAAAGTCGATGCTTCGCGAGCTGGCTGACCTGCCGCTTTCCAAACTTGGACAGGAGTCTCAACTTGATATGCAGACCTGCCGAACCGCAAGTGCTCTTGCCAATGTCCATCCCCGCAGTGAGTTGGGAAAGTCGGCAGAGAAGGCTTATGCAGCTTTCCTGGGGTTCTACAACTCAAATCTCAAGAAGCTCCACATGTCGAAAACAGACCTGGTCGAGACGGGTGCACGGTTCAGCGGCCTCATTGGGCTAGAGGAGGTGCCGAAGATCCGAAAGAAAACGTTGCACTTCTCCAGGCAGCCGTGACGGATCAATCCATCGACGCAAACGTTCCAGTAGCCTGACGGCCAAGCGAGACTACAAGGTATCGTACCAGCGATAGTAGAGCCATTTGATTAGTAACGAGCCTCGCTCCTAATCTATCTACACCTTTCGCTGGGTATTCGGGTCACAGCTTTCTGAAGAAACATGCGAGTATCTCCTGCACCGAACTCGATCTGCTAATCGATGGGTCGATATGCAGATCGACCCTGGCGTACGGCAATCAACCAAGTAGCAAATGCACCTACGAATATCCCGACCACAGCGCCAATAGCAATCTGAGTAATCGAGACGGTACTTGACGGTGCTCCTGCAGATTGTTGCAACACGACGCTGACACTCGCATTCTGGCGACTGTCAAACAGCTCACGCTGTTTCTTTAGCGACTGGACACGTGGTAGCTTGAGCGTGTTACCTGGCCACTTGGAGAAGACGGTGAGCTTGAGCCACCACGCTGGATATCCGGGCATCTCCATTTCTTCTGGTGCTTCACCAGTGGTGATGTAGCCGTCGGTGAATTTACCGACAAGCTTCCACGCAAAAGCCCACCATTTGTCCACGACGTTGGAAGCCAATCGATTCGATCGCTCCTGCAAGTACATGCGCACTTCAGATGCCGTCAAAGAGTCGGCATGAGTAGTGACGTGATGTTCCATCGTCTTCCGCTCAGTAAAGCACCAGTTTTGCAGGTCAGCGATGTGAGCTCGGATGTCCTTGCTGATCGCGTCAAACCGAATCATGCTCCAGTTGTTCACGAAGCTGAAGGCCCACCATGCAGAACCAGGGGTAAACTCGCTTTCCTTCCCAATGACGTACGCAGAAGGCACCTCTCGCTGCGCACATGAAAATGGAACATAGACCGAAGCATGTGGGGAGCTCTGGCCGTACCAAGCGACGCCACCAATCGCATCAGGTAGGTGAGCACGCGCTTGCAGCACGAAACTGTAGACGGTGCGGTACATGGAAATGGGTCGTTCCCATCCACCGACGACCCCTTTTTCGTTGCCATCCCAACGCATGGGCATTCCAAACGGTCCTGCAGCAAGACCCTTGGACAGGTCGTACGGCGTGTCTTGAAAGTAGTCGCGCAGTAATCCTGTCACGTCTGCGACATCAAGGCGTCGATCCGGTTTGACTGAAAACGGGTACGTCGGGTACTCTGGGTAATGCCCGAGGCGAGGATCAAGCTGCAAGGACGGCGCAACGAGATCAAAGACGCGCCACATACGACGCCCCATATACAATGCGCGCACTGGGTTTGGCGTTGAAGCACCGTACACAGCGGTGAAATCAAACTCGTCTTCCTCTGGCTTCCACCATCCCATTTCTGTTGCAAAAGAGTGCACATTGTCGGACGCCAAGAAGTGCTCTGGATCATCGAGGTCCATCTCACGGATCACAAAGCCATTCGCCACAACGACCACATGCGTATCAAGCACACGCTGTGCCGCCCAAACAGCACTCGCGTTCTGCGGACCCGTGAGCACGTGGAAGACCCACACTTCTCCATACCGATCCGCCAGCCCAAGCGTCTCTGCTGCACTCACGTATCCCGGATTCGCTGGGTCGCCGCTGTCTTCACTGTAGAAACCGTACTTGACCGCCAAGTCACCCATAGTCTTAATAGCACACCGAGCCGAGTCGCACCGCTCGAGTGCTACTTTCGTGAGCTCTCCAATTCCAAACATGTTGTACCCATGTGGACCTGCGTCCGTTGGCCAGCCTGCCGTCTTGGCGCCACTAGTGCTCTCCCCGATACTGAGCTGCACCTCGTTCATGAACCCATAGTCCTGGTCAAAGTAGCCGTACGTGTGCGACACCTGAGGGATCTGACCCAGCGGCGTCATGAGCTGCTCGTGCTCGTTCTTTGGCGCGTACTCCGGTCCTCTCCCAGTCGTCACGAGACGCGGGTAACCTGGCTGGAAGTTGTACACGTGTCGAACGGCTGTTTCGTCAAAGTCCTGGGCAGGGACACGCACCATCCGGAGGTCAGCAGCACCGAAGCCGGCATCGTCCGTGTGGGCCACTAGCGTTGAGCCGTCCGCTGTTGCATTGCGCCCTACAGCGATCATTGTGCAAGCTTGTACGGGCGAGAGCACGACAGTCACGAGCAGAACCAGTAGCTGCAGACTCGACATGGCTGGAGTTTGGCGATGTGAGTGCGATCGGGTGGAAGGATAAATGATGGGAATGGAGGACGTATTTGCGGTCGGTGGTCGCACTACTTGGACAGTCACTTCTAGGGCTCCGTCCGGCACGGGATGGGATATCCCTTTCAATCCCCATCCCGCGGGGGACGGGATTTTCCGCCGGTCACCGCGGGACAAACTAATTGAATTTTCATCCTACAAGACAGATAAAAAAAATTCAGACTTTTAATATGCTTGAGCGCCTCCGTAAGCGCTGTGGGAACGAAAATTGGTCGCATGGTCAAAAAGGCATTGTAAACCGCAAGTGCATATGGTACCTGTTTTAGGGATGTACGGACAAAATGACCAGCTCCACAAAATGTGAATCGGTATCGCTGTAGGAGTAGTCCGTCAGCAGTGCTCTCGTAAGGCGTTGTGACAGCGAGTTTACGATGATCGAACGCACGCACCAACATCAATGTAGATTGTTGCTGCGGATAGCGACGTCTTGCAGCATACATTGGTGGTAAATTTAGGCTACACAATTGATCGAAAGCGATCCCGACGCTTGATGGAATAGTAAAATCGTTTGACGAAGATTTAAAGTGATCGACGGTAGGTTTAACTGAAAGTGAAACAAGTTGTGTCCGAAAACTTACTCTGTAATACCTACTTAAAATTTGATGGTGCCACAAAATTCAAAGTCGCGGACCCTCACTTAATTCAGATTTTCAATCGAGTCGTCATCGGGGGCAGCAGAAAACACATTTACAAGCATCTCCAAGTGCCTTGGTACATCACATGCCTTGGCACTACTCTGTCCCATTCGTTTTTAGGACTGAAACGTTGTGTGAGCTACATGAAACATTATTGACCGACTACAATCTACCTCTTTCTTCGTATCATATGCTTGGTTACTCAACACGACAGACAAGCTGTTTTAAGGTATTAACGGCTTGCGCTCGTCAGCCAGAACGAGAGTGACAACAGTTTTCAGCTGCCGCATGTTTAGTAGACCATTTTCACGCGGAGCGCATCCCTCGTCGTTATTGATCGCGTACGTGCTTGTCGCTAAAAGCTCATGCTTCTTGGAAAGAGTAATTAAGGCCCCGACAAGGGGCACTCCCCTCTTAGACTACGGGCACACCCCACTTAGACTACGAGCGCACCCATCCGGCTGCGATATTAAAAATGGAATCCTTATAAACGACCCGCAACATGTATGATTACGAGTTTGCCAGAGAGGTCCTCTGTACAACGAAGAAGACAGCTGAAAATACGAACAGTGATGCTGCAGTGGATAAGAAGCCTGCACACTGGACGCCCCAGCAATACTGGAAGACATGGACGCCGAAGAAGTGGCCGCTGCCTATCGAACTAATTCCACCCACAGCTGTTAAAAGGTAACTACCCAAGCCGGTGAGAGTAAGACGCAGCGGTATACCTGAGGTCACTCGTCATGAAGCAGCGGAAAAGAATTCTTGAAGTCAGAACGCGAGAAAAATCCGGTGCCCAATCTGGAACATTTCGTTACTAGACAGGAGCATCGAGCACGAGCTCAACATGGACCAGACCGTCTTGTTTGTAATGGGCGAACGACAATCAAGAGAAGGAACCACTGTGAGAAAACACCCGATCAGGGTGCAGCGTGGCAGGCGCCAAGTGGGAGATGAACGCGACCAGGAAATATACCAATGGATCGGCGCAAAGAAGCAGCAATGAACAATAACTGGCGAATGATGTCTACATAACTGTAAGCAGCAGCGACGAGGAGTTGCCGATACCCGGTACACGGCAGTGGATATTGCAGAACTGTCAAGTGAATGTGAGTGTCGACTGGCTCACAGACATCCAACAAATTTAGCGAATGCTAAACCCCAATAGGGTAACTTTTGATGTTGAGGACTCACGCAAAGTAAATTGTGGATGCTTAGACATGGCATGCTGTCGTCGCGTTAAAATGCCATTGTGGCACAAAAGCGAAGTTGGTAGGTGTACCCCACGTGTCGAGAGGTGTGATAATTAATTTCGGCAGAAGAAGTTACAGTTGAGAATGACTTGAACAGGCATTTGCGTGTTGGCGCTGAGACCAAGCTCTGCCGGTCTGTTTGTTTACAAGTATTGGGGTTTTCGATGAGCCTGCTGTTGCGACCGATTCAGAATATACGATTAAAATGTAGAAGCAAAATTTTAGCGGTTGACGAGTGTTTGTGAGCGCCGAAAAGTGCGGTTTTAAAGCTCGACTTATGGATCATTTCTGTCGTCCGAATACGGTATTCCAAAACGTTGTAGGGGAGGCGTCACGTTGCGGTGATGATGACATCACTAAGTCACATATAGAAGGGCGAGAAAATCACTTTAGACTACATCAGGCAAGCACACAGAAAAATGGAATCCCAATGCCTTTTTCTATGCACCAGAAAAAAATCAAGAGGTGATCCGGCAGTTGGAAATGAATATTGAAGCGAAGAAGGCGATGCAGTAGATATGGAGAATATTTTTTGGGCATTAGCTAGTTTAATATAAGTGACTATCTGAAAACTATTTTACTTGAACAAAGTGTTAAATCATATTTAGCTTGAAGTAGGTGCTTTGATGAAAGGCCGAAAAAAGAAAAACACGAAAAATGAGCACCAGAAATTAATCAAGCCAATAACTTTAAAACAAACAAGACATGCGATCACTTGTGTTTATCCTTTTTCTAGCACAAATTACGTTGTGTTGAAGTGTAACATAAATTTGGAGCAGCCTGTAAGTCGCGAGTGCGTCCATCCGGCCAAGTATTTCAGCCATACCCTAAATCTATTGGGGGAGGAGCGGTCGATTTTTACTTTCGAGAAATGGTAGCTATATCAAAATTTTGCAAATAAACTACATCCTATTAAAAGAGAAAATTGTTTTTAGTGTCCCTACCCGCCTATATGTAGCAATTGCATTGCCGCGCGGTCGTAAATGAATATGTAGTATATGATAAGCAAATTGTTAAGCGAGATACTGCTACGCTCATTTTTTACGCTTGAGTGATTCTTCTACATCGAAAGCATTTCGAAGACATAAGAAGACGAAGACGGCATCCATGAGGGCACAGGTAGAAGCACACACGATCTCCATTATTCCGATTTTGAATGTATGACGAATTGGAGTTGGATTCGTAGGCTGCCGCAGAGCTTGAGGCACCAGCGTTGGAAATTTGCAGATAAATTTGTCTTTTCACTGTCTCGAAAGCGAAAGGATCCCTTCTCGTAGTCTGCACATGAGAGGCAGAAGGACGTCCTCATGATCTATGTATATTTTTAGACTCCAAACTTCTGTCTATGTCTGTGTCAAGTTCAAATCCCGCAATAGGAATGCTCAAATGCCATCGCTGATAAATTTATTAAATGGGAGCAATATATTTTTCTTGAAGCACCGCAGAATATTTTGCGAGCAAGGATGCCGTAGACATGTCAATAGTATCCTGTGCATCCATCAAATAACATCTTTTTTTTTCACACTGGCTATTTCGCGTTATCGTATTGCTGCATCGTATCTCTTTTTAACTTAAAGCAGCGCGTAGTGCGAAATATGTTGGTGAAGAGGGAAAAGTAAGTGATGCAAAAAGCGCAACATTTGCTTCCGTCTTCTCCTTCTCAAATGGATTAACGGTGTCGTTTTTTTTGGACCGCAGATCCACAACTTTGTCGATGCGGTCGTATGCATCTAATATGTTTCTTCCAGCGTATCGCATCCTAAATCTAATACTAACCCAATGCAAAGCCTTCAAGTTGAGAAGTGACTGTGTGACCGCAGTGCAAAGACTGGTCGATAAAATAGGATATAAAGTTCTCTTAGAAGTGTAGTTTGTTTTCTACATGTAACGGGGTGAATCGTTACATAACAATTTATAAGAAATTGTTAACAGAATATAACTACAAGAGTTATATTCTCAGAATATTGTCATAAGGACAAATGATCTGCAGCACTTACGAGTAGTTCCTAATTGGTTGATATAGGCCATTATATCAACCAACGAAGACGCGTCACGACAGACGCACGCAATGAGTGGTGAGCAGATAGTTGATATGCACATTTGTATTTAGAAATAGTTAGATGAGGATAAATAGTGATTTATTAACAGACATTAACTATGATAAATGCAGTTCTGCTTTTTACTTTAACCAAGTACTCGCTTCTTCTTACCGTCTTCCTCTGCACGTACGAGTGTACGTGAAGTTCCGAGGCACCGCCTTATTCTGTCATCGGAATAAGTAGCTTGTACTGTCATCAGTACAAGCTTCAGGGTGCCCCGTTACACCTGGTAGCACTTCGGAGTCCGTCCAAGGACCACGTTCACATCTAACATGAATATGTTGGATGATGAAGATGACCAAAGCTTTCACGCTACGCGTGACCGCTACTCCCATTTGAGCGATGTCGAATGGGATGCGGTTGACCGGATGGGTTCAACCATGGGCAACCATGCTGTTAGCGTCATGCTAGAGGCTCTCAATAGAGATGCCCAACATGCTACTATCGCCAAGTTCATTCAAAATGAACTTGACGCAGAACGCGAGAAAGTAGCCTTGCTTCACCAACAAGGTTCTCAACAATCAGAGTTGTTGAGAGAACAGGGTGCTCAACAGTTTGAACTGTTAAGACAGCAGCAGGCTGCTGCTGGCGGGTCGATGCATTCGCGTCGACCCGAGACCTTGAAGATTGACATCTCCAAGTTTAGGGGAGTCGAAGAGGACTCCCTCTTGACATGGTTCGTCGAATAAGAAGACGCAATAAGGGCGCGTCGCATCAACGACGGGGATATGCAAGTTGCATTTGCCCAGTCAAATCTGGCAGGACGTGCCAAGACTTGGGCTTTGGGGCTCAAGATGCACGACCCATATGCGTTTAGGTCGTTAGAAGTCTTCAATTCGCGGCTCAGACAAACGTTTGAACCGCCTAGAGATGAGTTCAGAGCTCGAACCGAACTCTTGAAGCTCAAGCAGGGTAAGCGTGATGTGCACGCTTACGCGCAA